TCTTTGATGGTGATGGAATGCTTCACTCAATAAGAATCTCTCAAGGCAAAGCCACCTTCTGTAGCCGCTATGTGGAAACATATAAATACATGGTCGAACGCAGAATTGGCTCACCGGTGTTTCCTAATCTGTTCTCTGCTTTCAATGGCCTCACGGCCTCTCTGGCGCGTTGTGCAGTCACTGCAGCCCGAGTACTTACCGGACAGTTCAATCCCATCAATGGCATTGGCCTGGCGAACACGAGTTTAGCTCTTTTTGGGGGAAATCTCTTTGCATTAGGCGAGTCCGATCTACCTTATGCTGTTAAAGTTACATCAGATGGTGATATAATCACTTTAGGCCGCCGTGAATCTTTCGGGAAGCCATTCTTGACTATGACGGCACATCCCAAAATCGATTCAGATACCGGTGAAGTCTTCGCCTTCAGATACAGCAGCACCATTCCTCCATTCTTGACCTTTTTCAGAATCAGTGCCAATGGAATTAAACAAAAGGATGTCCCAATTTTCTCAATGAAAAAGGCCTCATTTGTTCATGATTTTGCCATTACAAAAAACTATGCAATATTTCCTGAGACTCAAGTAGGGATGAACCTTAGTGAAATTATCAAAGGAAGATCACCAATGGGGGTTGATCCAAATAAAGTGCCACGGCTAGGGTTTATACCACGATATGCTGAGGATGAATCAGAAATGTGGTGGATTGACATGCCTGGACTCAATGCACTTCATGTTATTAATGCATGGGAGGAAGATGATGGTAACACAATAGTCCTTATCGCGCCAAATGCATTACCGGTCGAGCACATATTCGACAACATGGATATGATCCATTTTTCATTGGAAAAAATTACAGTAAACATCAAGACAGAGACTGTATCGAGGCATCCTGTTTCCTCCGAGAGTCTAGAGTTTGGAGTGGTTAATTCCGCTTATGTGGGGAAGAAGAACGTGTATGTGATAAAAATGTTCGCATAGAAATATGAATAATGCTATCTATCACCATGGGTGGATCTACAGTCTGGACAGTGGGATTCGTTGCCTCCACAACTCTACTCTCCTGGCTCTGCCCTATGATTATTACCATAAAGATAAACAGTTTAGGTGGCAGTGGACCCCGATACATTGTCGAATGAAGTTGTGCTGCATTTTAATGCAATAAACAATGAATCACAGAGTTCGCTGCCATCTAAACTAACGACGCCTATCGATGGAAATATTTATCCTAAAACTTTTGGGATTTTTTGTTAGTTTTGGCACTGAATCCATCTTTTTTCTAATAGGTATGTGTATGCAGAAATTGGAGCTCCAATGCCGAAAGCAGCAGGGGTGGTGAAGGTAGACTTTTCGCTATCTGCCGAGACAGGCTGTGTAGTGGCTAGCCGCCTATACGGGACAGGCTGCTATGGAAGTGAACCCTTTTTCGTGCCGAGAGAGCCCAATAATCCAGAGGTCGAGGAGGACGACGGTTATGTGGTGACATATGTACATAATGAGATCTCGAACGAGTCAAGTTTCTTGGTCATGGATGCCAAGTCCCCGAGTCTTGACATTGTTGGAGCTGTTAAGTTGCCAGGCAGGGTACCCTATGGCTTCCATGGACTCTTTGTGCCTGAAACCGATCTCAATAAGCTGTAACTGAAAATTAATGAGGTCTATTTGTTTGTGCTGTTAAGCCTCGTTTGGTTTGGCTAAAAAAGTTATACAAATTTAATAATCGAACCTGTTACTTTTCAATTGCAAGTTTCATCAATTTTTATCAAAATCTACTAAAAATATATTTTTTAACTAAACCAAACAGAGGCTAAGTAAAGCTTCATGGTTTAAAATTCGTTAACGAGATATCTGATTTTTTTGAATAAATGATTATATTGGCATTTAAAGATGAATAATCATCCAAATTGTTTATTATTGTACCTGAAAAAAGACTTAGGACACGATTGACAGCTAATAAAATTCTAAAAGTATTGAACAATACAAAAAAAAAGATTTTAACTTCATTTTCTCACTCATCATAATTAATTTCATATATCGAACACATTATTGTAGTACTTCATGAGTTGTACATTTGAATGGTTAACAGCTTGATGCGTGCACACGTTAAAGAGTCAAGATATTATTTTTCGGATTTCCATATGTTATTTCCTTATCTTTTGAGTGTGTAATTAGCATAGAACTTTCTTTTCCTAGTTATAAATATGACTCATAGACCATCTTCAATGCATTCTATGAATTGCAATCTAGCCCCCAGGGCACATCTCCAAATGATAAAAGGGGAGGGTGGAGAAATCCAGCTTTGTTTGATGCTGCTGCATCAAGGGTTCGAATCCTGAAATATGAATTTGGCTCTTGGGTAAGTGCAAGTGTACAAGCAGCCTTCCATCCTATACCCTTGGAGGCATAACCTGCGATTTACCTCCCTCACGACGCTCCATGGTAGGGGTGGTGGGGAACCCTTAAGGTTGGGGTTTAACCTTTTTTTTTTTTTTATGAATTGCAATCTAATGCTTGTAAGACACATCATTTTATTATTTTATTTTTTTTATGCGTCGAAATAGAGAGAAAATGACAATTATAACCAATATAAAATTTCACTAAGAAAATTTTGATATACCATCCCATTCTACCACATACAATTTGTACTTTGCTTTTCTAAAATTAACATTTAACAATGAATCATGCTTGTTGTACAATGATTTTTACAACAAGTTTGACAACATGCTACGTGGCAGGTTATCATTAAACAGTTTGAAAAATATTTTATCTTTCCCGTCAACGCTTTTTTGACACCTACACCGTTGTCAAGCATGTTGTACAAAAATATTGTGCAGCACAAATTGTGCTAAACATCAGCCTTAGATATCATTAATTGACGAGACATGTTAAACATAAAAATATGAATTTCATTTCAGACAATAACATAAAAAGGCGTCAAGCCCGCACGGTGTGGTCGCCGGCCAGTACCCGGCTAAGCCTGCAGTCCGCGCACGGCCATAAAACTCCAGTTACAGCATCACATACACATCAAATTTACTCACTCAAAGGAGGTTTAAGGATACAGAGATCTGAAAAGCTCAAGAGCAGTGCTGTCGCCAACTGAAAGCGAGTTTATTATCAACTCAATATCAAAAATGTATGAAGTTTGTTATGTCCTCTGAATGATGAGAAACAATCTGAAACATGCCACATCCAACTAGACACAAGAATTAATACAAACATGTTCCTGATGCAAGAAATCAGCTTTAATTACAGGTATCAGAGAAGAAGAAAACAAGATCCTTGGGCTGTTTAACAGATTCCAACTGTATCGCCCCGAAAATGTTAGAATAAAATTATCGTTTGTTATATTTTTATATTTTGAATAATTGTGGACAAAAGGAAATAAGTTTTGAATTCCTATTTTATTTGGGCCAAATAATTAAGTATTAATAGAATGAAATTGTATCTATCGATATTGGGCTCATCTTGTAGTCCGAATTAAGTAATGTAGGTTGGGCTCAAGAAAATATAAGGTCATATAAGTTAAACCCAAGATAAATCAGTTGAAAGAAATGTATTAATTATGTATTTTTAATGCATCTTTTAAGATATTTAGCAAAAGATTATAATATTTTAATCACGTTTATCTTTATAATTTGAAAAAGATGGATGGAATCATATCCAATTCTGTTCCTCAATTTCAAATATTATTTTATATAATCAAGTAGTATTATATTATATAATACAATTAATCTTTGTTTTATCCTATCAAAGTTGTTGATTGATTTAAATCCATGGAACCAAAATCTGTTTATTTTTATTTTACCATGTGGTAAGTTTGCTTGTTTGTTTTAAAAATCTTAACCGTGTATATGAATAGATGAAAGGAGGTTTCAATTTTTAAATTCAAATAATTCTTGTTATATGATTTTTATGTGTGATTAACTTATCTTTAACTTGAAGTTGAGAATATATCTAATCTTAATCAATTTTTTTGTTGATTTAAATCACAAAAGCATATTTGTAACAAATCTTGTTTGTGTAGCATGTGGATAAATATGTTTAGTATTTTTTAAAAAGAAAATCGCATATGGATAGAGTGATCAATATTTGAAAATTTAAAATCCAAAGAAATTATCCTAACCCTTATACCTACTTTATGTTGCCTATAAATACTAATGTCATACACATATTTTGCGAAGAATACCATTTCTTTGACTTTGATTCTATTCTTTAAATTCTGTAGTTTCCTTGCTTCTTTATGCCCATCTACTCCACGCACATACACAACTTCTCAATTTCAAGGCACCAAGACTCATTTTTTTACTTAAATAATTTGCAAAAGTCAAATTATTGGCACATATTTTAAAAGCAGAAAGCCATTCTCCATCTTTAATTACATTCACGGCAGCCACGAAGTCTGAAAATTGAAATATTCTCTTGGATTATTCTTTCAAAAATTCGTTAATCTAACGAGGTATGATACTACGTGCAAGTAATCCGTCCTTACAATGTTATAATTTTTTCTACGTGATTTATTTCATGAAATGATAATTGACCTGAAGTTCCCTATGAAATGAAATGTGAGATCTCCTTCGAGACTTCTCAAATGCGTTAGGGTATTCGATTGACACCGATTGCTTTTGATGAAATGATGGTATGAAATGTTATAAATTCATATTTTAAAAATTATTATATTGTTTGGATACACGTATCCTACTAAATATCAATTACTCATTCCTTTAATTTTAACATTTCAAGTTAAAACGGTCGACATGGATGGTGGTTGAACGATGCTCGGACTGCCAAGTAAAATAAAAAAACTTTTGGACAACCTTCAATAATAAATTTGTTAAGAGTTGTTTGTTTGTCATTTTTTATTATTATAATTTTTTTTTTTTTGTCCATCAAATGTTCTAAAGTTTATGACATTATGCTTATTTAATTTAGTATTTGAGTATTCAATAAATTAAAAGTTTTAATTTCCAATTAAATATTTCCATTTCAAGTATGATTATGAAATGATATCGGTAACACCTCAAAATTTAAATCGATAAAATTTTTGGGGGCGTTACACCAACCCAGCGGAATGGATGGGGTCAAATTAAAGCCCTTTGGCTTTTCATACTTAAGAGTAACAAAAAGAAGTAATCAAATTCCCAAAATGGTTCTTATCTGATCAGGAGGATGTCTTGCCAGCGACTTGGGATCGGGATAGTGATTCCTGGGATCCATGATTGCCTCGTAAATAAGCTCATATGCATCAGCCAGTGATCTAGCAACCTGAACACAAGCTTCTGACCGAAGACTAGGTACCTGCATTTGCTCAAACTCAGGCAGGGTACTTTCACTTCCCAAAATGAGCCCAAAAAAGGCCTTTAAACATTCTGAAAGAGCAGCGGGAGACATATCTTCGGTGTCTGCCAATGCGGGCCCAGCAATATCGTTGCCTGATACATCACTGTCTGGTGAATTACGGCAGTGGGGCATCTTGTTTGACAAGCCACACCTTCGCAAAATGGCTTCGACTTCTTTTTCGACAAGACCATGCATGTGACTGTCTATCATTACTCCGAGCTTCTTCACATATTCAGATGCAACCTCATGTCCTAACAAAGGTTGTCGGATGGCACATAAGCAGTTGATCAGGAAAATCTTCGAAGGGGTTTCACTGGTCTGCATTAAACACGAAAGGTCAGGGGATGGTGGAACCTGATAACAATTACCGAAAGTCATGAATTTTAATACGCAGCAGGAAGTGTATCACAATTTGATTCAAACCACGGGGAAAATTAATGATCATAAATGAACAACAAGATTACCCATTTCATAAAGAAACTTCTACTTTCCCACAAATCCTAGTATGATTTGTTTAGAAGACCAAATTTTTTACCACTACAAAGCCAAAAATATATGATTATAAAGCTAGAGTTTTGGGTAAGCAGACACTTGATCCCCACCTTAGGATCACGAGAGGTTTGCTCAACCCTAAGTTATTGGGAATATGTAATGCTTACTGCCGAGTCCACTAACAGCAATAGTGGATAGGACCTAATACTGGATTCATTATGGACAATTACCACCATGGTTTTGAACAATCGGTGGTTTAATCTTAACAAGTTACAGCTATTAACTACCACATCTTACTGGAACTGAGCTATTTCAATACCTTGCCATTAACAGCACGATATAGACTTCATACAATGATTACAAATTGCTATTTCTCCAAAATCAGTATCATTACTAAGGCAAGAAAATAGGAGGAGTGAATTACAAGTTTTTGTCTGTGTTTGTGACTGTTCTGCTCGGGCGAAGTGTGATTTTTAAGATATTTACAATGCGGTGCTCTATTCCATAGTGCTTGTTCCTAACATAACTTCCCTGCCCTACGCTTTCCTTGCATATGAACATACTGATGTGTGTTTATGAGAATCCAAGTTAGAGTGAGACTGGGGCCAGCGGTGATAGTTCATAGTTGTTCAGAAATAGGAACACTTTGAGCTAAAGATATTTATCACTATACATTATAGTGAGAGAATTTGATGCACATGAAGGGGAGTTGACTGAGTGCCTGTTTGACGACCATTAATTTAGTTTATGGTTTGCTACTGGATCATTTTCAATCACAGGTTTGCAGAATAATATATTCTACACGTATTCCAAAAACTTTTCCCTACTTTTCAAACACACATTCTCCTAAAAATCGCTATTCAAAACTCTTTTTTTAAACAATAATGGTCGTCAAACAGGCTCTAAATATGACTTTTTATGTGATTGCCAAACACGACCAAATTAGTAGTACAAAAGAAGAAGTAGCCCCTATACATGTGGAAGAAAATGCATACCTGAGATGAAGGAACAGAAGTGCTATTTTCTAAAATAGCATCTACAGATGATTTACGGACTTGGCCTGCGTCAGAAATTAATCTACTTCTCCTTGACGACTGTATAACTCCCTTGGACCTGTATGTCTCTGCTGCTTGCTCGCATATCTACAGATATTGAACATAACAGTCTAAAATGAATAGAGAAGGAAACAAAACAAATGAATTTAGATTAGCAAGGTATACGGCTCAATTAGATATATTAACGCACCAAGCTGGAGTCCTAATACACCAGTGGATTGGAATTTACAGTATCCTATAATGGCAAGTGGATTGGAATTTACAGAAAAAGAAAGAGTATTGGTTTTATAATCCCCAGAACAGTAATCCAGCATTGCTGTAAGTCAACAGAATGCTCTAGAAACTGAGTGTATGTACAGTGTCATGGCTATTGATCATGTTGTTAAACTTTAAATTTGAAAACAATTTTCAGATCTAAGTAGATACCATTATGGTCAAAGAATGTATTCCAGGAAGGTGAAGCAAAATTTAAGATCAAAAGGTGTGAAGCAATTCAACTCAGCTTAAGTAAGAAAGCGATACAGAGTCAATTAATGTGTATATATTAATAAAAGAGACAAAGTAGTCCACAAGTCACTATTTAATTTTATGCAAGTCTTGGTTAAGCTTCAATTATGTTTTGAAAGGTTATGTAGAGACAAGAAAAGCTCTTTATTTTCCCAGATAAAAGTTAATATGCATTTAGTAGACGTCTAGGAGTTCTGTCATTTCAATTGTCCGGAAGTCGTTCAGTATAAAGTAGTCTTTGTAACTGGGAAGGGGGGAGAACTCTATTTCAATTAAATTATCAGATTTTATTACATCTGTTATTTCCAATTTCAAGGTTTTGGTTTCACCACTTATTCCTTAAATAAATCTGGACTCAGATGGTGATTGGGATATCAAATCTTGTCTACATCAGAAAGCATGGTCATTTGCAGAAACATGTTATTGGTACTTCAGCATCTATGAAGACTGTGTTCACCAATAATGACAAATCTCATTAAATGCTCAGAGGAAATAATACCTGAATAATAGGATCTAGCAAAGCAGATATGACTGGCTCAAAGGCAGGTTTCTTGCCTGATGCAGGAACCATCATTCTGTCGTATGTTTCAATTATTTCAAGCAGCAAAGAGACTCCTTCTCTTACTGCTGGGGGTGGAGAAAGATCAATGGCAACAAAAGGAGGATATCGTAAAAGCTTCTCTCCTCGGGTTTTTAAAATGTCAAAAAAGGTTTTCTGAGTAGCATCCTTGAGGGCCCAAATTGTGTTAAAGAGAGCTGTTTCTCTTCCTAGCAAATCTGACACCTGAAAAAAGACGAACAGATAAGACAAATAGACAAGAGTTTGATTAAGGAGAAAATAACAAACTCATGTGTTTAGTAAACTCACGGTGTAGCAGTAAAACTCCAGTGTATTACTAAGTTTATAAGAAATAATAAGATTAGGCTGAGACTGCAAAACTTGTTCCACTCTCACTTTAAATGGCCGACAAACTCCTTCAAAGATCCTGTCTAGAACAAATGTCAAATCTGATTCTGTCTTTGCTACATCACTCTCCCCGATTTTAGAGGTTTGGTCAGCATTTCTTCCAGCATCTGCCACTGCATCAGGATTGAGCAGTGCAACAACAAATTCCTTTTCAGATGCCAACGCCTGTCAGGTAGCCGAAAACATGGATAATTTCAACTAACATAAAACAATGACAGAAAATTATGACAATCAATATATAATGACTCTGATTGCAAAGGCGAGACAATAGAACCCCCACAATGAACTACCTGATGCAGCCATCCCAGCATGTCACCTACATATCTTAAAGGATCGTGAGCATGAACTTCAATCGGCCTGGGTAGTCCACCTGGTCCTCCGCGTGTGAGGGCACTAATAAATCTTCTGAACAACGCATTATGCCTCATATTGGCTACCTGAAGGACAGGAAAATTACATGTTAAAACAAATTGTTGGAAAATTGAGCTCAATGAATACTTCAACTTTTAGCTCTTGCACCAAATACCTCTTCAGCGCAATACTTGAAAAGTACAGGTCTTTCTTTGAGACATCGGACAGCTGTTTTGAGGAGCTCACCAACTTCAGGATTATCAACATCCCCAAGTCTTCTACACTCTGTTTGAACCCATCTGAAAAAGAAAATAAAAAAAAATAACTAATTCAGGATGGGGCAAGGCCCGCTTTAGTGCTATGGTGTGTGACTTCAAATACGTATTAGGACAGCGGAAAGCAAAAAGTCTGCTATAAGTAAATAGAATGGCCTATATTTCTTAATACCAAGAAAAAAGATGAAAATATCTACTTTAATAATGGTTGTACAGCATCTAAATATAAACCCGCTGACAAAATGCACTCAAAAAATAAGCTGCTTATGCCATACATGGATGCCACCAAAAACCTGGCATTTCAGACATTGAGATTGTAGCACAGAAACCGTTTAATTGTTAACTCTCTAAAATGGAGTGTTCTTGTGATTTTTAAATCAAGATTCATAAAACTGGTGAAAAACTTTTCACTGGTGAGATTTTTTCTTCCCCTTTCACATAAGTTTTATAGTTTACCAATGATATTGGAAGTTCAAATTGCCATTAGGTGTGTGCAAGTAAATAGAAAGGCTTTTTCATGCTTCCAGATATCTTCTTGTACTGGACACAATATGATAAATTAGAGAAATTTCACCTGCATAGGCGCTCATAAGCCCCTTCTTGGTAAACAGCCATCATATCCATAAGCTCCAAACCAGCACGCTGCAAACATTCTTTAAGTGAATACATCTATTGATAGATTCAGAATTAAAAAGGAAAAAGAAAAAAGAGCTAGACAAAGGAAAAAGCCACCAGCTAAAAGAGAAACACGAGGCACAGGATTATGGGTTTTGCAAGCAATTATGACTAGAGAAGTCAATTAATGATGGCTTACGATAAAAAGAAACATAGGATGGGAGCAGGCCTTTAAAGTGGTAGATACTTATATGGTCTAAACTAAATGATTTGCCGACCAAATTTAAGCCAATATATATATATATACAAACAAACATCACTGGAAATTCTGGACATCAACTAATTGAAAGGTTTAGTTTGCTCTTGAAAGAAAAAGCATAACCACTACTTGTGAACAGAACCAAGGAGTTGTGTAGGGAACAATAATCCGATAATTGAGTTGATCTGTGATCAAACTACATATATTAGTAAATGTTTGACACAGCAAAGAGTTGAGAAGGCCCTTACATTCTATTTATCATATTAAAACTACTTAGAATATGCAAAGAAAAGAGTTAAAGTTTCAGAATAATCTACCAATAAATCCTCACACTTGGCAACCAGACCAATCAAAATACAACCTGTTGAAACTCCTTGAATAGAGGACCATCAATTGAAATGGAGCTGGAATGATAGACTTATTAGCACAAAAAACATTGTCATCATCATACGTGGTATTGTGGTAATAAGTCACGTAGAAATGGTAGTTCTTGCTTCAAGGATAACAATAGACTCTCATTGAAAGAATTAATCATTACAAATATCCTTGTCATCGCAGGAACTTCTGCCCATCAAATCATATCCTCTCCATATACATTTGAATGATTTCATTTTCTTATTGAGATGTCCACAAGTAATGGCCTTTTAACCTAATTTGAAATGTTATACGCTCATCTTCCCCAAGCAAGCTTTAAATAAACAATCAATAAAGCCGATAGAAAACAAAAGATAACGTCTACCACAAACACCTGCAATCCAAATCACCACTTCCCCATCCACTATCTAACTCGTAATTTCTTTCCTCGGCAGCCCATTTTCCCAATTGCAGTCATATCCAAACAAGAAAGTCATGTTCCATAATCCAACATCGACATTACCACCTCTGGCTCACACCTGACAATAGCGCCATATTCCCCAACCTAAAAAGCAACCATCCTTCCTCATGCCATAATTACTACCCCACACCCTGTGCTGCCCCCACTTCCCAAACATTATAAACTCACAAGACACGAGTGATGGAATTATTTAATCCCCAAATTAGTACTGTCCCCTACCACCAAACTATCAGATCCATCTGCCTATCTCCCTCCCCCAACATGATAAGGAAGGGGAAACTCAAAAGGTTGAAGACAAAAGCCATGATTTGTTGATCAAAAAATAGTCACACACACAAATTACCTGGCATTACGCCCACCCTTGAAGTTATGACAAATGTAATATTCACATGCAGTACAAGTCATGGAAGGGTGAGAAGAATATACTGCAGAACAAGCTATCTGCTCCTTCAAGCTCTGCCTCAAGCAAAATACCATATATATTGAGAAAAACCACATTAGCACTAAACCTCTTCATCAGTTGCATATTGGAGTCTAGTCTTCATAATCCCCCACTTGCTCGACAAACAACAAGAATTCAAACTAGTCCAAATTATGCATCTTTGTTTT